TAAATAAATATAATTATATTATAAATAAAATTTCTAGTTACAATATGATATTGAAAGCTAGATTAATTCTAGATTGAATTAGTTTACTTGTAATAGAAAAAATATTAAATATAATATTAAATAAAAATTATAAATAAAAATTATAAATATTAAATATTATATTAAAATATATTAAATATTAAATATAATTATTATATTAAATATTAAATATAATTATATATTAAATATAATATTAAAAATAATATATTACATGTAATTGTCAAAATGTCAAATTGTCAAAATGTCAAATTGTCAAAATGTCAAATTGTCAAAATTTTCTTGTTCAGTTAATTTCTTGTTATTTAAAATAATTAATATATAACTTATTAAAAAATCGTGAGAAAATTTTTAAAATATATCTTATAGATCAATCTTATACTAAAAATATATCTTATAGATAAATCTACATAATAAAATTACTGAAAATATTATAATTTATATATAATTAATATAGTATATAAGTATATAATTTGACATACATATTTTTAATAACACAATATTTTTTGATATAACAATTAAATATTTGAACTTTGGCTGTATAAAAATCCACAATCTAATAATAAATTAGATTAGTAAGTAATTAGATATCTATAAATGTTATAAAATTCATCATATAACTTCTTACTTCATTAATACTAATTAGATGAAATTTAAATCTATGAATTTTTTTTAATTTGTTATAAAACTTAATAAATTTTAATTATTACAATCAGAAAATCTTGATCATTTTATTATTTTCAACTTTTTAACATCAGAATATTACTTTTTTACTTAATTATAATATAAATATACTATATAATATTTCCAAACTTTCATTATAGTATAATGATATTATATCTAAGGTTATCTCTATTCCTGACATTTTAAGTTTAGTTTAGTTTAGGTTGTTGAATATCTTTCATTGATATAAGAATTTCCTTTTTTTTTCACAAAAAACTTTTTTAATTTTTTTTTAATCACATATGCAAAGTATCATCTGAAATATTTAAATTTTTTTAGTTATCGAAAAAGTTATTGAAGATTAGAATTCATTATTAAGTATTTAACAATAATAATACAAAAACAATTAAGATAATCTATTACTATTTATTATTCCAGATAATCATTAAAATTATTTACATTTTTTTAATTTTTTAGAATCCATTAAATTGTTTTAATTAATTTTTATCAATTTAAATATATATGAATATTAAATTTATTAATTCATTATTAATTAATATTAATTAATACTAATTTATTAATACTATAA